TAGTGAAAATTCTACTCGCACGGGATAACGTCGACCCCAACAAGCTTAATAACGACGGCTGGACACCACTCCATTGTGCTGCATGGGAAGGGCACGAGCGAGTTGTGAAAACACTACTCGCACGGGATGATGTCAGCTCCGATAAGCCAGATAACGTGGGCCAGACACCACTCTATTTGGCCGCATATAGTGGGCACGAGGAAATAGTGAAAATGCTACTCGCACGGGACGACGTCCACCCCGACAAACCAGCATACCTCAGCTGGACACCACTCTGCTGTGCTGCACGGAACGGACACGAGGGAATTGCCAAAGCACTACTCGCACGAGATGATGTCGACCCCCATAAGACGGCTGATGACGGCCAGACACCACTCAAGCTTGCTACTCAGTATGGCCATGTAAGACTGGCAGCTCTACTTCGGTCCCAAGCACCTGCCACCCGTCCCGGGCCCCGGGGGCTTCTGGGAAGGTGGAAAGGGAAGCGACGGCGGCAGTGGTGTTTGTGGAGCTGTTAGGGTCCTTGCGGAAATGGAAGATGGGGTTATCCATGTCCGGGGGTAGTGGGGAGGTGGTATCCCCCTCGGATTTAGGTCGTGCCGGGCCCCGCTGCTACAACCCCTGCCCCCCCCCCCCTTCCTTTCTGGAGGCATCCCGCCGCGGAACCCAGGCTAAAGCATTTTCTCTCAGTGAACGGAAATCATATACACCTTCAAATGTACATATCTCCCAATTTCTCCCCTAAACATCTATGCACAATCCCAATTTTCTGTTTCATAATCCAGGATTTGGCGTCACTCGATGGCCACTTCTACCATTACATTATAATCCAGTCCGAGCCCAGCTTAGAGTTTTCATTACCATACTTACTCACTTTTCCTGATAATCTGCTTTTGTTCCATTTCCCCCAAAATCCCTTCTCCTCTTTCCCCCCGCCCCTTTCCTCCCTTTCCAGGTTATAGACCCGTTCAACTATATAGAAAAAACGCAAACCAAATTTATATCTCCCATTCACGCAAAGCGACACAAAAAGCCAGTGACCGTTAATCAAGCAGCCCGATGTCGACCGGTTCCCACCCCACAGCGAATATAGTCCAATAAAGAAAGAAAGAAAGAAAGACCCCACATCCCTTCCAACCCTCGCAAAAGCCCAAAACTGTGTATGTAATACCGACATTCAACCCCCCCCCCCCCCCAACCACATATAAACAACACGATCTTCAGCACATGGAGGCAGATTTCAATCCGTGAGAACGGGATTAGGAGGACAATCAAGGACTAAAGGCCAGCGTGCGAGGCTTCAACGGTAACGCGAGGGGGGAGGGGGGGGGTGGGGGGGAAGGTAGGTACAGGTCGGAGTCGGGAGGTTCATTCGTAGCGCCGGGGTTGATGGTGGATTTGAGAACTTGTGTTCTTTTCTCCTACCTGTCCGAACGTGTAGGTACCCCCGCCTCCCGCATCTCCGCTGAAATCTATTGTGTTTTTTCTTCCCCTTCCTACTGGCTCGGGCAACGGAACCGCACCGTGTTGTGTTGTGTTGCATCATAAAATATGTTGAGTAAGCTTAGCCTTACAACCCTAAAATCAAGCGAGTGAGAGTCCGTGAGTCTGCTGCAGCTCGTTGCTTAGGGAAGCGAGAGGCAATACAAGTAGTGACCACAAACAAGAACAAACAGCATGAAGCCCGCCGAGCGGCTGATATTGGAACCAAGTTTCACTGTTTTCGGTCAAGTTTTCTGGCTTAAATCATGGCCAGGCATTCATGACGTTATAGGAGGGAAGAAAAGCCTTTCCCATCGACCAGGGCTTAGGCAGGAAAGGGGTGCACATAGCTTTCGCATCCAAGGACGAAACCGCTAAGCGGAATATAAATCAGGTATAGTCACCGGTTGCACGAATCTACAATAACATACAGTCCCCTAGCTACATCGCATTCTCAGACACTGCACTCTCTCATGCCGCGCCCCAACGTTGCAACGGATGCGATCGATCATGATATCAGCCACAACATTCCCAAAGCCACTCCTCCACCATCCCCCCTGCGGGCGGCATAAGTAATGATAAACAGATGGATGGATAGATGCACATGGAGTATTGTACAGAAGATTGTGGAAAAGAGATCCCCCAAACTAAAAAAAAAACTAAAAAAAAAACCTCAATTCCAGTCTAATCCTCATCCATAGCCTCCACATGTCCAGGCTTACTCCCATCGATATCAGCTGCAAAGCTCGCCTCCTTATCCACCATCTCAACCAACACGCCCACAATATTCTCCTCGATACCCCGCTTACCCAATTCCTCCAAATGCTTCTTCGGATCCACCTTCCCAACGTAGCGGGTCTTCATATCATCCTTCGTCAGGTCGTTCTCCTCCTTGACACGCTTCTCGTAGGAATCGGCCAGGCCAACCATCTTTTCCAAACGCTCTTGGTTCTCCTTAGCAAGCAGCTTAAAGTCCTTCATCGTCAGGCCGTCTGTCCATACCGTCTTGTGCAGGTTCATGAGCATGTTCTCCTCCAGGTGCGTTTTGCGGTAATTGATGAGGATAGAGTAGTAATGTCTATTCAACCCGTGGATCAACGCCTGGATAGAGGGCTTATTGAGATGGCCGAGGTTGGAGGTGGTCTGGCGGGGCTCCTGTCCGAGCATGAGGGATTGTGGGTTGATCAGTCGGAAGGCATCGATGACAACCTTTCCCTTGACAGACTGAATAGGATCGATGACAACTGCTACCGCACGGGGTGTTAGCTGTTCGAAGGACTGTTGGGTGTTGATATCGACGCTTGACAGCCAACAGCCAAAGCCCGGATGAGAATGATACCATCCGACGACGGTTTCCGGTCTACAGCAAAGCCACAAAAGAGTCAGCGCCACCCACCCTTCCATCAACATCCCATCCATCCACATACCTCCCAGTCTGCCTTAACATGTCCATCATTTTAGTCTGGAACACCGGATCGACAGCCTCAACCGAAACGCCCGTACCACTCTGAGGCATCGCAAAGACCTACGAGAAATTAGCTATCCCCCTCCAATCCATCCCCATCCCCCAAGAAAGAAGCAAACCCACATCAACCACACGAACAGTATAATCGTCAACAAACTCCCCCAACATAAGACCCATAACCTCCATCGGCACACCTACCCAACAAGTCAGCATCTGCCCCCCCATTGCACCATCTCGAAGGACGAAAGACAAACCAGCTCTCCCGTGCCTCAACATCTTCAACAGCGCCAGCGAAGAAATGTACACAGTTTCTGAGTTATCAATAACCGGCGTATCCTGAGGTAAAAAAAATCAAAAAATTAGCCCCGTATGGATAAGTGAAGAAAGTCCCGATAAAAACAAACCATCCCCGGAGGTGCGCTCATCCCACCAAGTCCTTGAGCCGCAGCATACATCTGGAGCCGATCCATAATAGATTGTGTGAGGAGTGGAGGGAGTGTTTGGTGGATGGATAGATGGATAGGATGATGAATGGGTATCGACTCAGCTTAGAGGTAGTCTAACGGAGGGGGAGCTCGAGTGAAAGTTGGACGAGAAACACAGAGAGGTGTGTAATTAGGGATGATGTATACTACTATTCCGTGCAGTTCTCAGAACGGAGGTGGAGAAGGAATGCCAAGACTCGGCCTCCATCACTCGGTTTTTCAACCAGAGCACTGATCTCCTGCGTAGTTGGGCCTTTGGCTGAGGATGGGTTAATACCGGTAATACGAGTATGATAGGACGTACAGTGCTCGTAGGGTAGGGTGAAGATGGGCCACCTTGGGTTCGATAGCAATGACGAGACGAGCATGAGATGTGGTCATATCAATGCCCGGCTTGTAATCTGCTCCTAATGGGAGATAATGCTGGCAACTCGACAAAATCTTCCAAACATGCAGCTACTTGACAGTTCATAAAGTATCAGGATGCCTTGACGCCAATAAATTTTATAGAGCACCTAGGCGTAAATTTGGACACTTTCGCGCCGAGACATCCGGATACTCGGCGAACTATCAAGAAAACCCAACAACATACCGGTACTTGAACCACGCTGTACTAAGTCACCATCCCCGTCACCAGGACCTCTGCACCCATCCAAAACTTAATGCCGTAGACTTCAGGATTCATCAATTGTAGACTAGCTACCTCCTTTTAGTCATATCGTAACGTACATCACATCGTCATAAAATTGCAGGAGATTTAAGTAAAATAAAAAGAAACCCCGATATCCAAGATGAATAATACCATGAAACACCATCCAATCCTGTGCTATCGCTACGCTTGCTCTGTAACCAATCCTACCCGTCTCAAGTGCTATAAGAAAAATGAAATTACGAGATATTTTCAAAAAGAGACAGGCAAAATAATCAATGCAACAACGGGAAAAGGTGGAAAAAGAAACAACTCCAGATCAATGCAAAATACACCTAAGTTGGGGGAGCGTATGGGAAACAATAGGTGTTGGGGGAGAAAAAAAATTAAATCAAACATTTGTAGGCCTCTTCTTGAGGGAAAATTTCCTCTTCATTGCTCCACTCCCCGTGTTGAGCTTTTCCTTTAGTACTCCTCCCTTCTCCTTAATCGTGTCCACTCCGATAAACTCGATCTGGAATTTCGTCCCTCTGATCGGCTTCGCCATGCGCTTCTTTCCGATGCTCGTAGTAGACTCGGTTCTGTGTAGTTCCTGTGCGTAGGCAGATATATGCGGTGCAGAGATAGTGCGCGAAAGGCCTGCACCTTCTGCGTCGTTAGGACTACCGTGACGGGGTCGCCACCACGGGTGAAGTTTAGATTCACGCATGTGCTTGGGCTGACTAGAAACGGAGGGGCGGCGAGGCACTTTAGGGGTGCCAGACATGGAGAATGAGGTCGAACGTTTGGGAACGGGGACTGGGGGCTTGGTTGGGGAGGCGGGATCCTGGGAGTTCTTCAGGGTCTGGACCCCACCGGTTGGCTTGCGGTGGGGAAGGGAGGGGGGAGGATTACCGAGCTGTTTTTTGGCCTCTGCTGCGGGGGACTTGGACGGGACCGGAGTTGCCGGTATTACGTTAAGGGCTGGCGGGCCAGATGGTGGAAGAGGGATTTTCTTTGGGGTTTCAGGATGCTCAGGCGAGTTGGGCGAACTGGGGCTAGAGCCAGAGGCAGAAGCAGCAGATGCGGACTGAACAAGAACGAGGCCCACCTTGTTCCCCCGAGGAGACTTCGGAGACTTGGGGGATCTGGGTGATCTGGGGGTTCTCGCAAGATTCTCGAGTTCAGCATGCCGAGAGTGGGAGTATGATCGCGAGATGGGAGATATGGGAGGGGATGCGAGTCCACCCTCCTCAGCATCGTAAAAGACTTCATCACTATCCCCTTCCTCATCGCTATAATCGTTCTCGTCGGTACCTGCGCTTTCCGTTTCGGCTGCTTCCTCGCTGGCGGCCTTCTCGGCAATTTCCTCAGCTGGCTCCCCAACGGATTCTGGAGAATCGGTTGTTTCCCCTTCGACATCTTCCAAAGAAGATCGAAAAGACATCATTCGTGGCGTTGGCCAAGGCGTCACTTTTCTTCCGCCGGCGCCATTGATTCTTTCCTTGCCTACGATCGCTCCCGGGGCAGGATACTGACCAATCTCGTCCTCATCCCCACCCTCCTCCTCTACTCGTATTGTGCTCTCTTTGGAATGTGTTTCTTCCTGGGCAATTGTAACCCCCTCTGCCTTAGCTTTGCCCTTGCCTTTGCCCTTGCCCTTCTTTTTAAGACCATTGATCTCCGCGAGCACTTCATCCTCATCCTTGAATGCACCCGGGATGGAGTGCTCGGGTTCTGACTCATATTCAGACTCTGACTCCGGCTCAGGCTCAGGTTCCAGGGCGGGCTCGGATTGGTACGTTTCGCCAACTCCCTCGCTCATTTCGCTCTTGATGCTCTTCGCACTCACAATGCTATTCACACTCTTATCGTCCCCTGAGGTATCGTATTCTGGATCCAGTGCAAACTCAAGCCTCCGCTCGACTACGGGCGGCGATCCCAACGCGATTCCAATTTCATGAGCCATGGCAAACTCGGCATACAATGCCTCACGAATCTCCACATTCTCTTCCAAAGAACCATCTAGCTCACCAACACTGCTAACCTGCTCCTCCTCGGCCTCTTTGGGCTCTGGGGAGCCCCCGGCAACGGGAGGGGTAGTATGCGGGATATTTGGCGCAACCCTGTGATCCACCTCATCCTTCCAAACGAATTCCTCAAGATCGAGAAAATTGTGTTCCTCCCGTCCCAGGTGCTCCTTGAGCCCAGGGATTTCCGTGCCATCTGCAAAATATGCGCTCTTAAGGCTCCGCTTCAATGACTTTGGGTGATGGAGGCCGGACGGAACAGCATCTTTTGGTGGGGTTGGCGGGGCACTACCACCCGCCGGCACGGTGGGAGGCGAAGTAGATCCCGACCGGGAGGACGAAGCCTCATGTATATTGGCCGTAACTCTCCTCAGAATCCGTGAACTCTGGAGGGCCGGGGGCCCGCCGATATCCGGGTTGGGAACTGGCCTCCGGCGGCCACGCTGGAACACAATTTCCTCGTCACTGTCATCAGAGCTCTCCAAATCGTCTATGTCGTCGTGGGGGCTCGCCGGGGGTGGAGTAAGCGGGGGAATTGGCCCACCGGTTGGAATGGGTGTGGTTGAAAGGGAGCTAATCTTTGGCAGGACCGCGGTAAACGTCCGTATCTCGTCGTAGAGTACCGCACCATCTTGATCGCGCGAGGAACATCTCGAATGAGCGGGGGATCTTCGAACCGGCGATATTCGGCCACGCGCGAAATAGAGTGAGGCTAGTGACGAACTACTGGGGTAACTGTAAAGGGTACCGGTAGTGGTGGGACCCCGGGGAGGAGAGTAGTCGGTTGCAGGGCGCGGTGGAGAAGCACCGGTAGCTCTCCTTCGGGGGAGCCGTCGAGGCGGGGAAACAGAAGTTGGAGGAGTCCGCGAATGAGGAGGGGAGTGAGACATCGCGACCGTCTGCCTAACCGAATATCCAAACCCCTTCGTCCTCCTTTCCAGCAGGAATCGTGAAATAAACCGCCAAAGGGTGATTAAAAGGAATAATAGGAAATAATGGGACAGATGAAAATACTCCGGGGTGTTAAAGGTGCGGGGTCAAAAGGTTGTGAGGAAATAGAAAACAAATCCCGAAGGAACGGGGAACCGAAAAAACCAAAACAAGTCCACAGTCCAGCAAACAAGAATAAAGCAGGGCAGAAACAGCCTAGAAACTATGATACCAATACAATAACCCCTTTCTTCCTTTCCCTCCTTTCCCTTCTATGATACCGTAGTGCCGTATCTCTTTCCCCTTCCTTCCTTTAAAGCGAGGACTGAAGATCCCGGTAGGAACGTAAGCACCAAATACCGAACCTTTGCGGGGTCGCAACCGTCCGCTCCACCTCCGCTCCTGGGCTTCTGTGGCTTTTTTTGGAGCGGTCCGAAATCGGAGAAATTAGAAAGGCCCGGAATAATAATTCTCCCTCCCCTCTTATCTTGCCTATCCTTTCCTCTCCCTATGCTTTTGTTTTCCTTCGCTCTCCAACCCAAATTTTCTCCTCCTTCTCTCTTCAAATATTTCTCCACAATAATGGCGTGATTGTTGTAGTGTGGTGTTGTATTGCTCTCGCTCGACCGCGGTTCACTCCTGCTCTTGGAGGATTGGACTGAGGTTTGTTGATCCGAAGCCGAACGTTGGAAAAGAAGTGTTTCCTTCGAGTAAAGGAAACGAGGGCAAAAGAAAAAAAGGAGAAATCAAACTTAGAAAAAAGGGGGGCAGGCAGTAGGTAAAGTAAAATAAAAGAAATATATGATGGGGGAAGGAAGAGAGGGGGGGTGGCAGTTGACGGAAGGTCAAAAAAATTAGAGCTCGAGTTGTATCATATTACCGTGTCGTAGCGAACCAGCTAACGCAGTCAACCAGCCATCCAAAAGCAGGCAGACAGACAGAGGAGAAAGAGAAGAAAGAACAGAAGAGGGGGTGGTGGCGCCGAAAAAAAAAAGAGAGAGAGGAAGGATTCACGAATTGAAATGCTAGCCTCCTCGTAGATGCTCGTTAGTGTCTCAACGACTATCCGCTTGCATGGGAAGGGAAAGTGAAGGAAGGGAGGGTTGGATGTGCATGTGTCTGGGTTTTTCCTCTCTATGAGAGGGAGGGGGGGGTGGCGTGGAATCGAGTGATGCGCCAATTATCCAGGCTTCTTATCGCGAGTTTTTATGGGAAGGGAAGGAGGGGGGGGGAAGATTTTGGGGAGGCATGAATCAGCGGCGAACAGCGGTGAAAATGGCGGGGGCGAGGACGGAAGCTACTTCCCAACTTATTTGTGATTTCCCAGTGTTCAAAAAAATATATTTCTCCTTCTCCTTCCACGAGAGAGATACCCTCAGTAGACTAATTGCGAGAGATGGTACAGCTCGACCGAGCCAATTGTACGCTTTTAACGGGGTGTATAACCGCATCCAAGATATCACGCTTTCACAATACGGTATCGTACAACATGATGCGGCTATATGAAGCTGAAGTTCTTTTTTCTTTTCTTCTCAGATTCATTCCATTTGATTTGCTCTGCAATCTCAACAAATCTGCTTCTTCTTACCTCTTTTAATCTTGGGCAAATTCATGAAACAACCCTTCCCGAGAGAAAGTCTCTGCCTACTGCACACGCGCGCGCTCACGCACGGGGAGAAGAGTGAGCGAGAGAGGGGATTTGACGTCTCAAAAAATATTCGGGCATAAGAGGGGACGGAGAGGTTGGGCAAGTGAGCGAGAGAGCACAGGACTGCGCTGCAGAATCAGTCAGATCGACCAGTGGAGAGTAAACCTGTGTTCCAATACGGCCCATGTAAATCCGAACCAGAACGTTTCCATTTCGCATTTTGCCCCCACCAAATCGCAAATCGCAAGTGGTGAGCGGGCTTCCATTCGCTCCTTCGGGGGCTCCGCAGATGCTGTGCATGTCGGCCTATGAAGAGCCGTGGCAAGCACCCTCTATAATTAACGCGCAGGGTTGGGGGGGGGGGGAGGTTGCAGCCGGCTATACTAGTATGCCTCGCATTGGTAGGTCTCGACGTGTGAGGAAGGGAAGGTTGTTTAGCAGTTAATGATTCGCCGCCTCGTTATTTTTTGTTTCGGTGGGGTATGGAGCTCTGGTTGGTGGGGAAGGGGAAGTGGGGGTTGGGTGGTGGGACTCACGGCAGTGGTTGATTCAGGATGGGTCGCTACTGGGGCCAGCGGAGGGTTGCTTGTGTAGCTGCTTGGCCAGGTTACCACGAGCAGACTGGAGTGGGCCGGCAGAGATTCCGGTGGACACCAGCTATCGTACTCGTAGCTGTGGTCTAGAAGGGGGAGAAGGAGATACCGGTAATTTGCACAGGATTTGCTTGTGATACCCGGGTGCTCATACCTGCAATACGGCCTTCCAGCTGCGAGAGCTGGTACGAGTGCCCTTCCGCCGTGCAAGTACCGTACGTTACTCGAGCTCACACTGGCTACTCTACCCTGTGCTGGCATATCCTGCTCCTGCCGCACTAGAGTATTATCCCCCCCTCCCCTCATTCCATATTCCCGAACATCAGGCAGAGGCTCTGCCAGCCCTCTTCGGCATTTCAAAGCTGGACTATGGACACGCTTTGCCATGTGTGCACGGATTAGAAATAAGAGCCTCGCACCGAAGGGACATGAGCGGGTTGGCGTTTTACACCGAAAATGAGCAACTTTATATCCAGAAATCTCACCCTGGCTGCTTTTGATGAGAAAAAAAAATCTGTAAAATCATACCGGTATGGGGAAAAAAAATCACGCTTCGTCAATGGACTTCGGGAGGGAAATATTAGAAAGATTGGGGATGGAAATTGCAACGTCTCGGAGCAGATGTTTAACCGTCAGCACTCGCACAAGGGTTTACAAAATCACACAATTTTTACTGAAATGGACCAAGCAATTACAAAGCACCTAATGCTACTTTGATTGCCGTGATTCTATCTTGTTTTTGGGTGAGTTAATGGTCCCCAAATTCATGCAATTGTAGTGCAAAATGGCAACCTGCCCATGACTTTTGGTGCGAGGATCGTACCACCGTATGTGAGACCGGTACAAAATACCTATCGGGATCCCAGCCACAATCCCTCTTCCTCCTACCAATACTGTATTATCCTGCGACAATATCTGTTAACGTTGTCAATGCGTCCCCTCCCTCTTTCTTCCCCTTGCAGCACTGCTGGATCTACCAGACGTATTTTGGAGCGTATAGGGTATCCGTGGTTCGGATGAACGTTTCGCTGTATCACACCGCGGGGGGTGCGCAGTCGCTGGTGTGCACGTCGTTGATGTGTGAAATGGGTGAGTTGTTGAAGGGAGTGTGTTGTGCTGTGCTGAGGCTTGCTCAGGGCTTGCAGGCAACGGGTGGCGGAAGGGGGGGATGATGTGGAGGATTGAGGGTGAGCTAGTCTAGTAGTTTAGGTTCTGGGCACGATGACAGGAACCCTCTGCGTTTTAACCGGTACCATGGTCTATCTTGAGATGAGGTTGTGGGCTGTCCGGTTAGGGAACATTTCTTGAAGGGAGACTGGGGCCTTCTTTGGATGCCTAACCCCCCCCCGCCACACACACACACACACACACAAGGCTCCTATGGTGTTGTACTCGCAGAGCCGATACGGGCAATGGTATCATAGTCTAAGTCACAGCCTAATCGTCGGGGAGGAACTCCAGGATCTGATGATGCATGCATAAAAACACCGCCGTACCGGTACGGGACGGTATCGGTACTTCCGGAACCCATCATCCCAGTACCGATACCACAATTAACGGCCGCGCACCCCGGCCCGGGAACATACCGGTGCTTCGCTTAGTACTCGAGTACGGTGCCGGTAATGTACGATGCTCGAGTACGCTCACATCAGGCCCGCGTCAATCCCTCCGAAAGAGAGAGAGAAAAAGAAAAAAAGGAAAGACACCCTCTACCTCCGAAAAAATCACTTGATTTATTCCCTTTTCGCTTTCTCAAGAAAAGAAGTGCAGTTTCCCGCGAGAATCCGCGATTCGCACTTCATTCAATATCGGACAGGTCATATCGTGCCCCCCTCCCACCGAGCATCGGGGGGATGAGGGATCGAGCGAGTCGAATGAGGGAGAGTGGTTGTGGAATGGCACTGCAGATCGGGTTTGCGTGGACGATGGATTGTGGGGCTGGAAGCGAGAAGGAAGGGCGAAGAGGGGATGCGAGGAGAAGGGAGGGAAGAGGGCTTCAATTGGGAATTGACGTCAAACGATTTTGCAATCGAGCCTTCGATTCGCTTCCCACCCTCGTCACTTGTACGAGTACCAGTACAGTACGAGTACTCGAGTACTCGAGCACGTCCAGCCAGACTACCGTAGGAGCACGGGGGAAGATGGTTGTGTCATGTGAGTGTGCCTGGAGTTGGTGGCCACATGGGTTTGTTGATCCGTGGACCCTACGGTGATCACGAGGGGAATCAGTTTTATTGGATCCATGGAGCGAACTGCACCAACAAGACAGATTCTCATGATACAGTAGCTATAACAACATCAGGGCTGGCCTGCGGTGGTGCACCGACCAGGGTCTGAGGATTACCAACAAACAGCCAGGTTCTGCAAGCTGTCTAATGATTGAAACGTCCTCATGGGTGTATCCGGCGGACGTTTGTCAGGGGGACGGGGATGGGACCTTTTTCCAAAGCATTACCGCACTCGAGTACCGGTACCGTATTCGCACATGATTACGACGATGTCCGAGCATTCATCATGGTTGCAATGTGCCGCTTTTGCTTCTCAAATTTCACGTGACGGATATATCTACCGTATCGGCCGCGCTCGTACCCTCCGGGGAGATTCCGAGAGATTCTGACTCTACCGAATCGGTAGATCAGGGATGTCAAGTGCCTGCTCCCTACCGGTACTGTACTGTACTCGGATAGGGTAACGGAGGGAGGGAGGTGCACCGGTGCTTGTACGAGTACAAGTACCGGTGGTGGCCAGGCTGGTAGGAGCAAGACACGAAACGCAGGGTGAGGGAGGACAAGGGCGGACAGTTGGGAGTTGGGGGAGAGGGAAAGACGTGCTCGTACTGGTTCCGCTATCGTAAGAGGGGCAAAACCTGTTGCGCGATGACGGCGGGGGGATCTAGCCAAGCCCAAAATGACGTTCTCGACTGGGAAGTGAGAAAAGAGGTGTTGACCCTTGCCGTTGCTCTCCGTCATCTTGCATCATACCTACTGTAATCTCCCGCACGAATTTTCAATAAAATCCTTTGGAACCGGGCTTTTGGGAGAGTCTTCCATCCTGATTTTGCTCGACCCGATCCTCCTGCGGATCGAAGCTCTCTCTCCTTATGCTGTCCCGTCTATTAGTCTATACTTTTTTCTTCTTCCACGGGTTGCTTGTACCCGTACGAGTGCTACTGTACATAGAGTAAGTTGTGTTCGAAACACCTTTTCGTCTTGCGGCAGATTGGTAAGCTGGGGAAGTTACAAGTAGTTTGAGTAACACTGCGTGACTCCAAGTTTACTGGGTGAAACAGGGATTTGTTCCCCATCCCAACTTCTGTTAACACTGGCGTGCCGGGGTACGAGTAGTTTAGGCTATCGTACGCAGTGCCTCCTGCACGGAGCATTGGTAAACGCGGGGACGTAAATTTCAAGAGAAAGTTTATGCGCGCCAATACTACAGGTACCGGTATCTGGGGAATAGCGAACAGTGAGTGGTACGGTACTTGGGTGCCCTTGTAAGGGTGGCCGGGAAGGTGCGATATTGGCAACGGGAATGCCTGTGTGAACTGGTACAGTATGAGGGATAGGGCAATGCGTACCGTAGAGTACTCACTCGTGGGATGGGAGTGGCTCAAAGACTGTCCCAGCTGCGGGGGACGAGATCGGAGGGGGGAGACTAGACTACAAGTATCTGGTAGTTACGTACCGTACCACAGCGCCTCCATAGTGGTCTAATTCACTCGAGCACCGTACCGGTGCGTAGGGTAGGGACCATCCGAGTGACGGAATTTCTCGCCCGCCAAAACCCCCAACTTTGACGCCGTCAGCCGCAGTTTGGCTAAGGTGAACCATACTGAACCCCCCTCGTCATCGAGCATCACCGCCTTCACGCCAACCTCCACCGCAGAGCTTACCACTGTCAACTTTTCCCAATTTCGGCATACCTATCCTCCCCGCTCTGCTTTGTGTCCCGAGGTGCTGTACTGTACCGGTGTTGCTGCCCCTCCGTCATACTATACCCGGGCCCTGCCGCTTCATACCCTGGGGCTGTACCGTACCGTACTCGAGTGTCGTACCCGACCGCTCTACTGTACCCTCTGCCACCATCGTCAACCCACTTGAACCAGCTCCCCGCATCGTAAAAGTAAACAATCTTGACGGGATCGGTCAGACTGCCGGTAGTTCCTACTAGCTTCCCGGAAATCCGACACCATATTCCGGAGCCGATACACACTCTGGACCGCAGAGGCACCAATACCCGCAGTTACCCAGCTTACCCTCCCCATCATGCCTGTGATAGAGGTGAGTCCCCAGCTTCCGCATCTCGTTTAACCTTGTACCCCCTTCGCTTCCCCCACCCCCTGTCCGGGCCCTGTTTGCTTCCCCACCCCCTTCCCTTTTCGTGGATTTGGCGGGCACCAAATCCTGGACCACGAATGTCATTGCGCTTGTTTCTGCGGCCCCATGACGGTGGCTTCCTATCCGAATCCGAGCAATACTCCTCCTCCTGCTATCACCCCAACAGCTGTCCGCAGCTTTCCTGCTCCAGTACCACTCTCCCTTGTGCCCTAACTATTTGGACAGCGTTAACGCAATTGCTTGCCCTCTGTTGTGGTGCTTTAACCCTTGACTTCATACTGTACTTCCGCAATTACTCTCCTACCCCGCTTTCCCCCCCATCACCTCGTTCCAAGCCTTTTGTCTACATATCTCCATTTTGACGCCAGTACAAAAAATTCACTCCTCGGTATAAACGGGGAGCGTCCCAGACTAATGGCAACGCCGTATCAGAATCTCAAAAACTTTATCCGTCACGGGAAACAAGCGCGGATTCAAGATGCCCATTCCCATCCTGCCCCTCCGCAGCAGCACTATCCGCATATCGACCCAACAATCGATCCACCTGATCATCTTCACGCCCAGCAAGGTCAGAGGCAAGACTATTCAGTAGCTCCCGGTGCCGATGACAATTGTAATGTTGCAGCGGCAAACGCTGCCGGGGTACGCCAAAACCACCCGGTCGATTCGGGGGTGGTGACCGGGGGCGGTCATGGTGGTATCTCAGCTGGTGGAATCGGCGCCCACGGTGGAAAGACGTATGACGAGAACTTACTCGCAAAGATTGTGGCCGAAGAGAGGGAGAGCCGGGAGAGATTACCAAGATATCCTGGCCTGGAGAGGTGGGCCTTGAAGGAGAAGATGGGCGATGGTGCCTTTAGCAACGTCTACAGGGCGAGAGATACCCGGGAGGAGTACGGAGAGGTTGCCATTAAGGTTGTACGGAAATACGAATTAAACACATCACAGGTATGAGGTTCCTCTTTTCGTCCTACATTGCCGCTTTCCCTTGCTCTTCATCTTTCATTACAAGGGGGGGATGGCTGTGGGCACCGATTTTGGGTAAACTTTTAACCAACGTGTACCGGGGGCTACTTCGACCTAGAACGACAACCATCTGCATCCCGATTTCAAAAAGGTTCCAAAGACAGTAGAGGTGGGCAATGCCCTTCCTGCCACGCCTTCAAGCCAGCGTTTGAGAACGTAGCCTTCTTTTCCCTCGCATTTCCTTTCTCCCCGAGTGGTGTAGCCGGTCGATGGCTTTCCTTCACCCGGACTCGGGATTAGGGGCCGGGTTTGAATTGGGGGCTTTGCTAACCTTTGCCTACAGAGGTCGAACATCTTAAAAGAAGTGCAAATAATGCGGGGGCTTAATCACCCAAATATTGTCTCATTGATTTCATTCTCGGAATCTCGAAGTTACTATTATCTTGTCCTGGAACTGTGTCCCGGAGGCGAGTTATTCCACCAGATTGTTCGTTTGACTTATTTCTCGGAGAATCTTGGCAGACATGTTATTGTGCAAGTCGCAGAGGCTCTCAGATATTTGCACCAGGAAAAAGGTGTTGTGCATAGGTAAGGATCCTTTCGGTCAGATTCGTCACGCACGGCGTCACTCCCCCACTTCCTGCACGACCATCAGCCCTTGAGCCTCCAACTGACGTCATTGTGCATAAATGAAGGGATATTAAGCCTGAAAATCTGCTATTCGATCCCATTCCGTTTATCCCAACCAAGAACCCTAAACCACGGGGCCCGGAAGATGAGGACAAGGCGGACGAGGGCGAGTTCTTGCCTGGCATCGGAGCCGGTGGAATCGGTCGGATCAAGGTTGCCGATTTCGGTCTTTCGAAGGTTGTATGGGATTCCCAAACAATGACGCCCTGTGGAACCGTTGGATACACCGCTCCCGAGATCATCAAGGATGAGCGATATTCGAGGGGTGTCGACATGTGGGCTATGGGTTGTGTCTTGTACACTCTGCTGTGCGGATTTCCACCATTCTACGACGAGAGTATCTCGGTACTCACGGAGAAGGTGGCAAAGGGTCAATATACATTCCTGTCGCCCTGGTGGGACAACATTTCCAAGTCTGCTCAAGACCTCGTATCCCACCTATTAACCGTTGACCCGGAGAAGCGCTACACGATTCACGAATTCATGGCCCATCCGTGGGTCCGAGGGACGGACGAAGAGACGACCGCAGCCCTGGATGCTCCACCTCTCGCCACGCCCGCCATTAGGAGCGCGAACAAGGCTTTCGCCCCAATGGTCGTCGAACCGGACTTTAGCCCAGACGTGGGTGTCCCAGGAGCCGCTAAAAGAATGGACTTTCGTTCTCCGGGCGTGGTCAGCTTGCGCGAGGTCTTCGACGTGGGATACGCAGTGCATAGGATGGAGGAAGAAGGCAAGCGTCGGAAGAACTGGAAGCAGGGCTACCGTGGAGGTCCTCAGCCCCTGAACGAGGAGGACGAGTTCGACTCGGAAGACGACGAGGTGGGTGAACCTGTCAAGATCGCGAAGGAGAGCGATGCGGACGACGTCGCGGGAATGGAGCAAACTCTCCGACAGACGGATCTGAACGCGGGAAGCACGTATGCTGGCAGCGTAGCGGCCGCGAGGGGAACGGGGGTCTCGGGATTAGCAAAGCAGCACCAGGCCGGTGGCGGTACGGGGCAGGCGGCGGCGCCATCGCCCGGGAGAACGAGGAAGAAGCATGGAGGTCCCTTTGAGCTCAGCCTTGATAACGCGACACTATTGGGGCGGAGGAAGAGGCAGGATCAGCCGGTGGAAGTGTGATTTGTTGGGCGATGTTTTGAGAGTGTATTTATGCACATAGAAACAGGGGGCGGGGGTAGGGGGTATTTCACAATATATATGGACGGGAAATGGGGCGGGGGCATGTAGCTTTTTTTTTCTCTTCTCTTTTTTCCTCTTCTTGTCATCATCATTGCCGTTTTCTTCTCTCATCTTATTTCGTCGCTCTTTTTTTCCCTGTTCAACCCAAGCTTGAACCCACTATATCTGTATCTACGCTTCGCGTCCCATCAATCCCATCCTCCCCACTCCTCAATAAATACCATCTCAACCCGCCGCGCGGAAACAAATCATGATTGGGTATGATAGGGATAAATGAAACGGACAAGATGTGTCACACCAACGGGACCCTAAACCCACCCGCGCACTCAAGAAAGGTTACGCAAAGGCCAGAGTTCTTGGATAGCGCGATAGCAATCGATCTCCCCTGGTACATATTTCATCAACCGACGAGGAAACGGGTAACACTTCGTGGCCAAATTTTTTCCCGGGTGACAACTTTCACCGGTTCAAGGAGGGTGTGGGGGGACCGTGGATTATATAGCGCTGGAGCGGTGGGTTAGGGGTATCGGTGGGAGTCGGTTGTGCTTGGGGGATGTGGCTTGGCGAGGGCATACTTTACCCCCTCCTCGATAGCGCCATATTGGTATGATATGATACGGTATTAGCGTTAACAAAGGCAAAAGGAGAAAACCACCGACGCGTTATTACATCCCTGCGCCGAGTTCGGACTGCTGCATGGAACTGTGCTATGTAGCATCGTACTGTACTATAGGCACCATAGAGGCTGAACACCGATAAATTGTCCTTTTTCCTCTCATTTTCACCTTTTGGATACCGTACGCTACGGGTGCGGTGTTGAATCGCATGATACCGGTATGATATGATGAGTATGGTACCGTACCTGCTCGAGTACCCATTGAAGTTTGGCTTCCGGGGACTGGACGGTGTTGGTAGAGTTCTACATGTACTCGTATATATATATATAGGGCACGGTAGCAAGCTACCAAAGGAAAAAAATTGCAAGTACCATACTGTATAATGCCGGTACCGTAGCTTGAGGATTTTATTCTGTCTGCTACCGGTGTTCCCCCGAGTACGAGTACAGTACCGTATGGTATTATGACACGATATGATACGGTATGATAATTATGATGCGTATCGCGGCTCACGCAGTATCACGGGTTTGAATCAGTCTGTCAGGGGGTAGGGCAATTCACAGTATTGTACTGTGCAATGCCGGTAAGGATGTCACGACTATATCACACTGTGCCGTATCGTAGCTAAAGTCATAACCTATGGTAATACAAAGTGGAAATCTGTGAAAGCGGACTTTTTTTTCGTCCCCATTTTTTTTTTCACCTTCGCTTACGTAATCACACACTTCTCATTCCCACTTCTCTCCATTCTGCTGACGTCCGATACTGTATTAAATTTAGAGCCTTTGTTAATCATGCCTCGACCCAGACGGGTAAAGCCGTTGCACGCACCCGTCACTTTTCCTCTGGCATCCTACTCGTAGACTCGTTCCCCCCCCCCCCCCGCCCACCACTGACTGACTGGCGCTTAAGGCATTCACATCTCCTCCTGCCTTCGCCGCAAGCGTTCCAGATTCACGTCTAAACTAGCCGCCAGAAATGGCACGAACTACGGTAACTAACTTACCGTACCGCCGCATTACGCAGTGCTTACGGCAGCACCCGTGAGGTTCCCGTGCTTACCGTTAATGGTAGTGCTTCTGCTTGGCTGTGCGGCACGGGTTGGCCTGTACTGTATTGTACTGTACGTTTTCGCTGCTACGGTGTTTGCTGGATGCGATATGGGTGAGGGGTTATGGGTGGTTTTTCCGTACGGTTTGGGTGGGTGGGTGGGGCTGTTACCGGGGTGGAGTGGATGGGTAGAAGCTGGGATGTCTTGCGTTGTGTGAGGAGGGAGGGAGGGAGGGGGAATCAATGGATCTGTTTGGGGCTATTTATTCCGTTTGGGGAGGAGGTGGTTGGGTGGGGTGTGTGCAGATGTTTCAATGTCTCTATGGGCTGTTTAGGGGGGGGGGAGGTAGTGTTGGTTTGGGATGCGGGATTGGCAGAATGTGAGAGTGTTGGTTTTGTATGAAGGTGTGTTGTTGATGCTCTGCCTGGCATTCTGGATGGATGGTTGGCTGCGATTGGGGTGGTGAGTGGTGAGTGGTGGTAGGATACCGGGTGGTATGGACGGACGGTGTAAGGAATGCTGGAGAGGATGAAGGTCGAGATATGCTAGTTGGTCGGCCCACTTTTGGCAGGGATAGCCAGTGACGAGGGTTGATATTCGCATCAGTCCGTAAATTTCTACATCAAGGGTGAGGGAAGTTTCGGATAATAGTGGGCAGTTTTGAAGGTCCAGGAATAGGTGATAGCCACAAAGTCCTATTTGAGGAATATTAGTGAAGGGACAGACCTGAGTGTCGTGCTGAGCCTTCGAGAACAAGCCACGGTAGACCCTTATTCAATTTTCCCGGTGGGAACTCTTCCATGATCTCGGATGTTTCCATCCTTTGAGATCGTAACCCGTCGGACAATGTCCTCAACGACGCAACAAAGACCTGCTGCGCCGGGAAATAACTGGGGGTGCCAGCACCGCGTTTATCCTGGCAATGACAAAACAAACAAACAAACAAACGCTTGTTCCCCCCAGTCCCCCGCCGAGGGTTTAAATTTCGAGTGACTCCCGGTGAGCCCACAAACCTTGATATGATAGAACGTAGCATCATGTGCCGTCACCCGGATATTTCCCCGTATTTACCCGTAAATGGAAATCTCTCGTGGAACCGTATACTCTGATACCCGACTTAGAGCTCGGATATGACGTCCCGGTTGGGGTTATTATAAAACACGAATTGTGGGGACACAACCCTATTATATGCCCTTGTTTCCTGCAGCACAGTTGATTTATACATGTGTAGTCTAAACCCCGCCTTCAGATCTTGTTCTTGTGATTGCGATCGTCTCATGGAATGCGTAGGGGCCCCTTAGGTTATTATTACGTCCTCTTGTGATGCCGCTCGCTGGATGGGGTACACAATCTGGAAATGCTTTTGAGCTGTGCGATTTGTCACCCGTGAGCATAGTTTCCAGGCTGAATGCTGTCAACCCCCCTTCTACTTTGCTTGTCCACATCTCTTTCTACCAACCTTGTGTAGATATATAGTGTTAGACCGAAATGGGACTTGAAATCTGGGGCCGTGGCAAACGGTGCAGCGACACCGTCCCGGCAAGCTCGGTCCTGAGTTTCGAGGTTTAGTTCTCATTTTGGACAATAATTGTTATCATAATATCATACCGTACCTTGAGGTGTCAAAGAGGAAAGTATATCACATATTATGGGGGGGCGGGGTTGAGGATTGAAGGTGTGGAAGGAGCCATCCCTCACTCTGGGGTTAGGAATTGGATTCTTGTCCGCCCTCACACTTCCTCTCTGCTCTCACTCCGGGCGTATAAAAGCTGAAGGATGGATGGATGGCGGGTAGAGATCAGTTCTTGTTGCCATTAATATAGTCAATTCTTTTTTCCTTTTTTTTTTAAAAGAGGTACAGTAGTGTGCGGAATTTCCAGCACCGATTGACCAACCGATAAATTCACCCCACACCGGTTTCTGAGTGGGGGATAAGGAGGTCGGCGGAGGCTCCACTCAATCAATCAACGATATAAAGGGGCCCCGCTATATGGGCAATAAGCCACCTGAAAACAGCATGGTTGTACGCCACGAAGAGTGAACATCACTACAACCCAAACCGTCGATACTCACTAGTGCATAAGTTTCCAACAATCTTAGGCTGCTGACTTTATTGATACACGGAGCATTCAAGCCCCTTCCCCGTCTATAGCCAAATGTAAAATTTCCTAGCTGTACTGATACCCCCCTTTCCCTAATTTCCAAAGGAAAGAGCAGAGCACGGGTATCAAACCGCTGTTGGCGCATGGTCCTTTCTGGGGTTATGTTCCTTCCCCGTGCCAGTGCTGGTCCGGCGCTCTGGTACTGTACATCGCTTTCGGCCTCTCCTCATATGTTGGGGAATAGCTGATGAAATGACACAAGACCTTGGATCTCTGTTTTCCCACTAACATATGGTATGCGTATCTTACTATAAAACGGTGGGCATAGACCTACCGCAAGTCCGTGCACTTACGATATCATAGGATACAAGGATTTCTTAGGCATGGAGCTTGCTGTTCTCCCATCCTAGATACTGCTGTTTTGGTTTACTCAGCTACCACCGATACAGCGTCAACAGCACTTAATGGTCAGTGTAGGGTTCTTCTCGGAAATCTAGCATTGTATTCCTGATGGTATGCCGGATAGGGGATTTCTTCCTCCCACCTTAAGCAAGAAAAATATGGACATCAAAAGCACGGTGGTAATCCTAGGACGCAGAGTTCTGAACCGTGTGGCAGTAGTCTGGTGCTGAGTGATAAAATGCACATTGCTCCAAGGTTACCCCAGAGAACTAGATAGACAAAGAGACCATGTGTTCCGAAAAGCTTCATTCCGTGAGCAACCCCCCCATGTTCTTTTTAACAATATCACACGAAATCCCGCTTAGAGAATAAGATAATTTTGGGCAACTTTGCTGCTAACGAGTGACAGACTGCAGTGCCGTAGTTTCCAAAGGGGGCTTTTAACGCGCAAACCGAAAAGTCCGGGACGAACACACTGAACAGGAGTACTATCATTCGCAGTGAATAAATTGGTGCATTACTCCTCCGTCACACTGTTACAATCGTTTAAACTGCCTGACTTGAAGGAATTTGTCCGTCCATGTGAAGTTAGTATGATAGTTGTCTCAGACGGCTTTCCCCATCACCGACCGATATTCCCGCTGTGATCTCTTTTCGTTTGGGGATGTAGAGAGATCTTTGTCGCTGGTAGTCCATGGCCAATGCCTGTTACCCTACCCGCGTTCTCTTGTTTATCACCACTTGCTCTCGCACTCTGGCTGAGATGACTTGGTGCGAATGGCATCGCTTTAATGGATTTAGCCCTGTTGGGTGATGCTCCACTCATTAGAAAAAGAGAAGAGAGAGGGAAAATAGTGAAAGTCTTTAATGCTACAAGGTTTCGGAGGGATCGACTCAAAAACCATAGTAGATGGATTGGATAAGATTAGATTATAATAAAACTCTAACTCTAGACTATGATACCATATAATTGATCCACGATACCCCGAGTTATGGAAGCCGCCGTGATAGATAGCAAAATAGGTAGTAGCATTTAATGATAGAATAAAGCAGCAAAGCTGGGACTCGGGGGAAGAAAACCAAGGACTACTGATGTGATCTGCAACACGAAGCAGAGTTGTGACCGGTATGGATGCCCTGTTGAGCATCAGGGTTGTTGGGGGGATCGGGCATTCCGAAGATATCATATGCCTACCCTATTAGCAATTAACTGCCCGCTCTGAACCTTCCAGACCTGTATATGCACTTCCCTAGGTCTGCCTCGTGGCTTCCTGACAAGTGGGGGCGGCTCAGCACGGTACGTAATCGGCACGATCCTCCACGCTAGTTCATCGGGAACTTGATTTGGCTCTCTATCGGAAATGACTTGTTGATGTCTCGGTCGCTGACCGACCCTGAAGCCGAACCCCCCTTGACCGGATCAGTCCTCGACTCGAACCGTTTCCTTGAGCTTGACGAAATTGCCGAATAGTCGGCCAGGAGGCTGCTTAAGGGAATCTCATGGGAGGTAAAGGGGAGAAAATTCCAGGAAGATATCCACGAATAGTGAAGTGGTATGATGCAGGTTATGTTATGTAGGAGGGGGGGGGTTGTGGTTGTGCATGACGATAGTGCCCGACACTTTCTTATATATTATTTGAGCGATGCGATCGAAGACTGGAGGTTTAGTCTAATCTTATCACATCTTATCTATTTAGCCAATCTGTTGTGGCATTTGAGTCCATTTTTCCGAAACCGGGTAGCATTGAGACCTTAACAGGAAAAAAAGAATTACGGCTCTCCACTCCCATTTCTCCATTTTGTTCTAACCTTACTAATGCAATTCCGGAAACAATATAACATACCGCTGGGACTATTGCCAAAGGGCCCGAATGGTGTAACATCATGGCCCCGGCAAACTTGGTCCTTCCGGGCTCCCGGGCTCGGTTATCCTCGCGGAGAGTGAATAAAATAATTATATATGCCCTCAGAGGGGTCGAAGATGGAGGGGCGTGCGCCGAGGAGGACATAGGACCTTATGTAAAATGTCGGGTGCTGGGTCCATTTCTCCGCTGTCGTAACCTAGCGGTTGTATGCAGAGATTATACCCTATAAACAATCAAAGGATTTAACAAAAAAACAAAGGGTCTATTTCTCCGCGCTCATCCCTCCTGATCTGTCCTCCCTAGGGACATGTGGTGGCCCTTAAGAAGGGGGTTCGGTATCATAGCATGGAGACATATGGATCTTTCTGTTTGTGGGGGCAAATTTGGAAACGGATTTAGAGTGTATTAGATGCGAATTGGTACGATGAATTCTCAGATGTATGCATACCTTAGCAGTCTGCTGTCTGTGGGCCTCTTAGCCTTGATTGACCTGACTGTTAGTTCTTCGCACGGCTGTGAGGAGGAGGGGGATGGAAGGAAGCCAATATGAGCTTCACGCGATTCGTCAATGGTATCAGAAATCTCTCGCGGAAGACCGCGATCATTGCGGGAACTGGGTAGATTAAGAGGGCCAGGTATGAGGCACGACAATCAATACGACCAACTTCACGTAACTTGTATAACTCCACAAAAACGGAGAAAGATCACATTGGATCTGCAGTTGGTTGGCTCACTACCTAACCAACTTGTAATATTTGTGCTTGCATACCGAAACACGTATCATACTGGGAGAAGAGCGAGCCCGAGAATTAGATAATAAAAAAAGCCTCCCAGAGAGGGCGCCCACGACCACTAATGATGTAGTATTTTCTTTAATTTTTTAATTTTCTTCCGCTGGGTGAACCCATATTTGGAACCAATCGCTAGCTTGTTTTCATCTTGAAGGTGAGCAGGAAGTCATAACTTCCGACCAACTTAAATCAGCGTGCACTTCTCTCCTAGGATTCACGATTTAGGATCTATCACTTCCTTCCAGACGCTAATGAAATACAGGCTACGGACAGGCTCCAGGCATATAGAACTCAGCTGCAATTGTAGTAGGATGTTCCTGTGCAGTAGGGTGGTCGCGAGCGACGCTCTAGGCATTATTAATCCTAGGACTTGAGACGAAACAAAGCGATTAGAAAAAAAATCAGTGTCTAGAGAGACACCCTTTATTTTCGGTATTGTTCTCATACCAGTAATAGATGAAATCAGGCTTAACTTATCGGAGGAGATTGTTTAGATAACCCTTCCCGATGATGGAAATTACCTACAGCTCTCTTCTAATTTGCAAACGCGCACTCTCCTGGTAGTCCGCACCGAGTTGGAGAGTTGGGATTTCGTCCCAGTAGTCGAGTTTTCGGGAGACAGCGTCATATGGATTCGTATGGACGTGATTGATGCGATGTGTTGTGGCAGCGAGGATTCCAAAGACTTATTACACGAGTGTCTAGGGTGAGGCTCTGCGAACGAGCTGTGGGGGTTTGGGTTGTGCCTGTATCTGCTTCTCCAACGGATGCGTTACCGGCTGGCGGGAGTACCGGTAGTTAGATGAAACGTCTAGAGATGGCTGCCGTCATTTTCGGTCACCCAGGAGGGTTGCCAATGCTATCCCTCTTGGGCCCGGGAGATACCGGGTCGATGACCTCTGTTTAAAGGGGGGGGTATAGTACAGTATCACAGTACAACGCGGTTGTTTATGATAGGATGTGATTTGCATTCGGGTACAAGCTCGGTGTACCAGCACCAGTACTCAGTACAGTACTGTACGAGTACTGTACGAGCATCATACGAGTATAGGTAGAGGGCTTGATTGTGCGACGGATAGCAGATGGCGAGATTATACGGAGCAATTGGAAAGCACAATATGCTTGTTTTCCACATGCACATGAGTGGGAGCTGCAAGTGTCGTGATAAGCAACTCTCACCCTAGCTTAATATTTGTCCCAAAGAGCTCAGGACTGCCTAGCTGAATGTCTTGGCACAAATAACCATCACATGACACAGTGTTTGCCCTCCCTTCGTAGCCAAATCCATCACAAAGCCTTGCCGTACTCGTACAGTTACCTCCCCCTCGCTTCCGCCCCTTAGTCTGCCCCCTTCCAACCCATCCCCCACTGATTCTTGAGAGGAGAAGCAAGCAACAATGACGCAAAAGCCAGGTGCAGATCTCGACAAGTTATTCGAAGGCATTGAAGACGCCTCAACTTCACGGCCCCCGCCATCCGCTCAAGATGAGCAAGATCTCCTCGCAGGCCTGGAATCCCTTGCCGCCGGACACAAAATTTCTTCCCGTCCGCACACGCCGCGGGTTTCCACTCCCGGTGCGAGGTCCCGTACACCTTTGGGTCGCAATAGCGGGGAGGGGTATAGCGGGTATGGAATTCCCCCGGTTAGGAGGGATAGTGGGGATGTTAGGCGGGGAGGGGGAGATAATACTCCTGGGCTTAGAGAGAAGGGCCCGGTGGCCACCTCGGTTAATGTTGTTGAGCCGCCGACCAGCGCTTCTACGGCGGGTACGAGCCATGCTTCTAGTGGAGGAGGTGGGGGGTGGGGATGGGGGAGTATTTGGGAGACGGCGGCGAGTACTGCTACCGCTGCGGTTAAGACTGCGGAAGGGGTCGTCAAGGAACTACAGCAGAGCGAAGAAGGAAAAAAGTGGGCGCAGCAGGTTAAGGAGAATGCTGGTGCTCTACGTGGTCTTGGTTTGTTCCGCTATCCACACGTCATACTGCGAGGTTGCGTGTTTCCTAGCTAACAGCGGGGGTTTCAGCTGGAGACGTGAGATCTAGAGCCCTCCCAACATTTACCACTTTGCTACACACACTTGCTCCACCAATCTCTTCCCACGAACAGCTACGTATCCACATTACGCATGATCTTGAGAACTACCCATTTATCGACACGGTCGTTTACGGAGTTTTCGACCGAGTGATGCAGCAGGTGGAAGGCGGTGACCTCCTTGTTGTGCAGCGTGGCGGGGGGTCAAAGCCACGCTCATCGCTGGATGGTGCTTTCGGTGGACCCTGGTATAAAGGGATGGAAAGGCGAGACCTGCACGCCACAGTCGGCTTGCAAGAAGGAATTAAGCTTGCGAGCGCTGCGGCAGAATCCTATGCACAAGAGTTCCTGCAAACGTCAGATGTGTCCACAGATCCCGCGAGCGAAGACAACCCCACCAGAAAATCAAATATATTTCTCGCCATCCAGCCGACAATCTACTCCCAGCAACCCTCAATACCAACACCCGGGGGGGAAAAGGAACCGGCAGGGGAAACCACAGAGGAAGGAGAGGATCGAGTCATTGTGTTCGCAATCCATCTCTTCGACCCTGTCCACGGCATCTCCTACTCTACCGTATCCCAAGCCCTCCCCGCCCAATGGCTAGAGTGGCTCGACGCCCCGCCCCCAGCAGATACTGCACCGGGCGAGTGGGTCGTTCCGGAGGTTATCAGGCACATAATGGACATTGGTGGCATCGATCCGCGAGAGTGGATTGTAGAGTGGGTTCAAGAAGCGGTGGGGCTTGCGGTTGGCGTTGTGGCCCAGAGGTACGTTGCCAAGCGAATGCGGATCGGAGATTCGGGGAGCCATGAGGGGATGAAGGGGAAGGAGGTTAGTTCTGGGGGGGAGGAGGCGAGGGCGGTAGCATTGTAGTTGTTGGTTCCACCAGTATTATAACTTATCTAGTCTTGCTTCAGGGCGGGGGGGAGTTTTTCCGTCTTCTCTAGCTTTGCTTTTACAATTTGTTCTTTGGATTAGTTTGTCATACGAATTATGCTTTCCGTAGTACAGATACATGCTCGCTAGGTGCGGTGGGGGTGGAGAAGGAGAGATATTCAGTGAGATACGGTGTTGACTCTATCAAGTGAGTGAGCGATCGAGAGCTTGGCGCCAAGACGGTACTCTGCGCAATACCGCACTGTGCCTCTTTCGAACCCATCTACGATAAGTTACCGGTAATTACTCGTGCTTAGATCTGCCCACTACAACAATATTATACAACGCTATAGCCCACCTTCACCACCACCACCACCACATGTACGCTTACAGCCAGAATAGATCAATTCCCGAATGCAACTGCCCGGCGTGCCGCAGGGATTTGGTACGATCGACAGGCCGAGGCGTCCCCGCACGATACCCTCGGTATGATATGGATGGATGGATAGATGGATGGCCGGCACCGCGGCACAAGTGATGCTTGGATGGAAAATGTGGGGTGGTGATCTGGTAGCGGTACTTGGTTCTGTTGTTATGTCTTATGCGTATAGTGTGATACGGGTCATTAAATCTTCAACTTTATTTGCAATCCTAAAGCTACGGGGGTAAAAAAATAATCGTGGCAAACGCCCTGGAGTATGGCCTATCAGACAAAACCCCCAGAAACAAAAGAAATCACCCCTTTTCCCACATCCCACATAACAGACAAACGGTGATATTATACCACATAATATAATCAGACCATAATTGAAAACGGTTCAACGGTTCATAACTCATGAAGCAAAATTGGCACGTCTTGTGGAAGGGAAGCCCTCCAACACAACATGGGAAAATCTATCCTGCCTCTTGTAACATAGGAGGCAAACCCCTTCATCAGGCTCACCCCTTGCTTGTCGCTCTTCTATAGCCCTGTGTGGAGTTGAGAGGGGTCTTGCGCATTTCTGCAGCGTACTGTGGCGGGACTACCACACACTGGAATGGCGGTTGTATGTAGAAGCAAAGGTGGATGCGAGTGATTCGGATACCCGGGGTGTTGGGGCTCCCCGTTGGCTTCCCGCCGGGTGATGTGTTCCGTAGCGGAGGAATCTGGCACCAGTGTTTTGCTCACTGCTCGCCAAGTTATTGGCGAATTGCGGATCTCCCGGTGTGGAATTGTTGGTATGGCTCGGAAGTTTGGTTTTTGTGTTCGGAATCGTTTATATGCGGTGGCTCATCTTGCGGAAGGTATATACCGGTACTTTTTTCTTCCGGAGACTTCTGACATTACTTGTATAAGTACAAGGGCTCCCGACCGCGACTTCTTTTCCTGGAATTGATGTGCTCGTCGGTAGCTGAACTTTTCGCTGGGGGAATAGCTGGAATTGAACTTTTGGTTGTGTCGTGAACCTAGGGGGGGGGGGTCGTTTTTTGGTGTAGGATGCATGGTCGACGGTCGATGTCGCCGGAATGTAATATATCGCCGTTGTGCTCGCTATCCCGTCCTGCCCCCTTCTCGGTGCGAGGGAGAGCGGAGTGTACGTATAGTACATGTCCTGCCGGTAGCTAGAAGTATGTTAGAACTTAACTTGTTATGTATTTCAATACAAATGTCTTCGCTTTTTTTTTTGTAGAGTTGACTCGCCCGTTGGAAACTGTATAGTGGGCGTAACCTCTTTTTTTTTCTTCTTTTTCCCCCATTTTCGGGATACCGTGTAGTGACAGATGTGCTGCGTATCATAAGGTTTTGGTAAATGTGGTACTGTGCGTTGCTTTACTCACCGCGATGGATCATTCGCAGCCATACCGGTACGGTATGGTGCTCTAGTACAAAAGTGTGGCGAAATACGATCGTGTGTCGAATCTGATCGCCCAAGCCACAATAGGGGGGCGACTGACCCGTCACGGCGATTGAGGCGGCACGCGGCAGCATTGATGGTCTTCCATCCGCTGCTTCCTATCCACTCTTGTGGTACGGCTTATGAGGAGGGGTTGGATACGGCTTGCATCATATTATGATGTGTGTACGAGTAGGTGAGTTTATTCCACACCGTAGAGGGAGGTGTAGAAAGAGGCTCTTTTCGAGTGGACAAGGGCGCCATGTTACTCGTGGATCTCATTTTTTCTTTCTTTTTTTTCTCAGCCTGGTGGAGGCGGGTAAGATGTTGCGTTTCCTGAGTATCATAATACCCGAATATTAACGCGTCACAGTACCGCACAGTACGAGTACAGTACCGGTAGGGTACTCGGGTGCAGCACTGTCTGTCTCCTGCACGGGCCTGCGAGAAAAATATCCTATGATAGGAGGCCGTAATTCCCTCGTAGCAAGGCGCTGCGTACGAGCTTTTCTTTTCTTTTTCTTTTTCCCTTTTTGTCTCAACTGAGGCTTGGCTTGCGGTGATTTCCATAACCCCTATCCCGGAAGGGAATTACAACGACCGAGCACATGCCTCTCGTAAGTTGTAACCGAGTGCAATCGCACCCCACTACGGTACCGTATCCCAATGACCAAAGCCCAAAAGCACCTGTCCGGGTTTGATCCAAAGAGGTTTGGAACTCGCAAAGGTTCTTTAGGGACAGCGAGGTACCGGTATCCGGGTATTCGAGATCGGGATAGCGGGGTGTGACTGCAATAAGTTAATTATGCAACGACTGATACGAATTTTAGGCTAGCGCCGCTAAGTATATCTTACTTTTTGTGGAAGTATCTACAGTCAACCTCCCCAATAATTGTGTGCAGGCCAGAGGGGAGTCCAGTCGAATAACTTGGAATCGTGACAGCAATCAACTTTTGTCAATTCGTTTTCTGCCGATCTCTTTGGTCGGATCCACGGATCGGATAGAATGGTGGGGGGCGTGGTGTGGGAGTTGGAAGTGGATGGAAAGCTGCATCTCCCCGGGATGAAATATCAGGGCATTGCACAGTACCAACACGGCCGTTCTAGTCCTCCGTTCTCGTGCCGGCGGGCATCTCGGGTTTCCTTTTTTTTAAATGCTTTCTCCGAGTTTGGTGTTGAGATTTTATGGGGGTGGTTTTGTGGGGGCGGTGGATAGGCATGCATGTGTGTGGTCCCAACCTGTACCTGGTACTGTACTCGAGTACCGGTACTGTGTAGACGGCAAGAAGGGGGGAGGGGGGGGGGGTGTTTCTCTTCCGCAACAGCAGTTGCTTGGGGGTGGGCTAAAGTACCGTGCTCGTGGAGCACCAGTATGGGGGGGGGTTCCATTAATCCTTTCCATTTGGACTGAAGGGAGTCACGGTGTCGTGTCCGGCTTACACAACGATGCGATAACTTTTTTTTTTAGTCAACCTTGGTATTTCCAATACCCACCTCCGGATTTATAAACTACTGCAAAAGCCAAGATATCGATGTTCACACACATGATGTTACTGTCAAATCAATTACCAGTGAAGCATCGGCTACCACGCATCACGCATCGTTTCGGTATCTCAATCGATCACTGGTTCTCTGTACTCGAGTATTAGCATTGAAACCTCTCCCAAGAGTACGAAGCCAAACTCATCTTCCCAGCCATTCATTCATTTATCCCTCCTAGATAGATAGTTATATACGCAGAACAGTACGGGTAGGGAAGCAGGGGGTTAAAGCTACGTTTGGGGTCCGCAGCATACAGTACTTCTTTTTTCATCATAGAAGCACCCTTCGAGCCTAGCATGACACCACTACCTGCTCGTGAAATGGGATCGAACCCAGCGGTCGCCCCGGGTGGCCCGGGTGCAGGTGCAGCATGCTGCTCTCGCCCGCCGGTCGTTTCTTCACCCGTTCCATGGCTGTCTGCATACCGGTATTTGGGGGATATATCCCGACCACTACCAATACCATCATCGGCGATTCATCGCTTCCACCACCACCACCACCGCCGCCGCCGCCATGTAAACTTGTTTGAATCCGGTCTGAAAGGGTACGAGATCTCCTAGCCCGGATAGCTCCATCTGCCCGTTAGTAGTATCCGTCACGAGCGAAACAGACAAGATGGTACACTATAGACTCCGGGGCCCTGCATTGTTTTGAAAAAGCCCAAGCCACTACCGCACAAGTATCGCACATAGGCGCATGACATGACGCAAAAAGTGCGGTGTGGCTGTGCAAGGGTTTCCCTTCATTCTAGAATCGTTTTAGAGGCAAACGTGCTTATCTAGCGGATGTTGTAGTGCGGTGGGTGGGTGGGTGCAGCGGGTGGTTTTGATGCGATCGGGTGCTGTATGGTGCCAGGGTATCCCCACGATGGTTTCCCGGGTTACCAATCACAATGGGGCATGCCAGGTCAAAGACTGGGAGGTTGGATCGGGGGACAGAATCCCTGGACGGATCGTAAGTTTTACCCCGGGTCGCTCTGTAAGATGGCGAATGCGGGCTCCCCGCTCTCGCACGTCCATCTACCGGCACTCGAGTACGGCAGTATGACACTTGCATGTTCTGGCGCAGCGAGAGGTTTACGCACTCAGTTCCGACCCCCCTTCCCTTGGTTCTCCACTAGCGAGGCTAGGGACCCGAATGATGGGATATGTATCCATCTGTAAAGGGTCCGACACCCTGGAATGCCTACAGGGTATGCATGTGGCGGCATGATCGCCCGTGATAAGCGTTACGGGCACGTTTATGGTTGCCATTGTGCGGGAGGGAGCGCTTTATCCTACACAGCAGCAGCCGCGGGGAGCATTCCTTCGGGTGGTTCTTAATCCAGCGTTGCAGGGATTCCGTGAAGTTTTTTTTAGCGCGGCATGACGGGGTGTGGTTTGGAGGTTTGGGATGTTTGAGATGCGTCGTTGTGCCGCTGTGTCCGGGGGCATGGTGGTGCACTCGAGTAAGGTGGGTGGGTGAGTGAATGGGTGGACTAAACAAGATATATGTAATGGAATTCACACGCGAGTGGTGATCGTCTGTGTTTCGGGAGAACCGTAGGGGAGCTCTACGGTGATTTGGGTGCTCCCGGGCTGCCATCAGGTTGGGTGGATTTACCGTGGTATGGAGCCTCCTTACCCCAATGAGCTGTGGGATTCCGTTATGATAGGTTCGGTCTCGCTGGCTATTGTATGATAGCTGCGGGTGCTAGAGAAGCTGCAGGGTGGCGGTGCTCCAGTGCGTAAGAAAGCTTATTATGGACCCGTTTTTTTTTTCCATGTTCCCACCAACTTGAGCCGCCGGATTAGAACTGCGCTTCTCTTAGTGGTTGGGCACAAAGAAAAACGCAAATCCAATCCGGCATTTTGTATTCGCCTCCATCAAGACTACGGTGTATCATACCATCTCCAAAAATACCGGTATGTACTACGTATGAGAGTCATAAGATGCAGAGAAATGGAGGGGAAAAAAAGGTAATGAAAAAAAAAAAGAAGCAAAACAGAAGACATTTCCCTGAAAAACCCCAGCAACCATATGGTACAGTTCAATGGCCTCCATCCATGCCGCTCCCTTCCTTCGCCATAGATAGCGCATTATACCCCTGCTTCTCTCTGCCCCCTCTCCTTCCTATCCTTCTTGCCGCCTTTCAAAACTTCCAGGTGCCCCGCCCGCTCGGCGAGACTGCGCTCTGTACCCGCTGTCAATTGTGCTGTCGCTTTCTACTCGCGGCCAATCGGTTAGATACCATGATAATTCCTCGTCTCGGCGTAGGTGGAATACCTTCTTCAAGTTATTGGCTTTCACCAATATGGCTTTCTTCGGGGCGATGGTCTTGTGGCCTTTTTTGGTTATACCGGCATTTGTCCTGGTTTAGCGGGTATGTTAGTGGGGTTTGACCCGTGCGTGAAGGTAGGAGGAGGAGGAAGAGTGGGCATCATGCCGCCTGCTGTTCTGCTTGGCCAGAGGCTTGGAGAGTTTCTTGTTGCCCTGTGCCATTTTTATGCCTGCTCGGTGTGAATTTTTGAGTTTTCGATATTTTTTTGCTCGGGTATAGCAAGGTATCGCAGGTAGATATGCTCGGGAGTGTGGTGAGGTGAGGGCAAGGTGCTCTAGGTAGTACTGGGTTACCCGGCCTCGTTAAATCATAAGAGAAATCCTAAAGCTGCTCGTTTTGTTTTACCTTGTAAGTTAATGGTGCTGTCGCTGGTCCAGCCGTGAGGGATACGAGAGGTAAGGCTAACTCTTACTGACCGTCACATCTGCCTGGGAGCTGCGGTGCTACCGGTATATCTCAATATCTTGCTTCTTCCCCTTCTTGCCCCTCATTTGTCGAGGCAGGATTGCTCCGGTGACAGGCTTTCCCGTCCTCCAAACGTTCCTGACCCGGTTCACCACAGCGTTCTTTCTAAGATTAACCCCCAACGGGCGCCGAACCGTGGTTCGGAATTCAATTCTTTTACCCCAAGGCCAGGGCCTTGGCATTCCTGGGGACACTGATCCGGCGCGGATATATCATACACTGAGCTGTCTCTTCTTCCCCTTGCAACTTACCGATTCCCTTCGGCGACGGACTGATAATATTGTGAGTTTTTTTATTCTTATGATTATCTTTCATGTTCACATCGGGCCTTTTGTGGGATCAAAGTTCTTTACGGTCTTTTCGTTGGGTGAGTGCTTTATCTCTTCCGCCATTCTCCTGACCTTCCTCCCGTTTTCTTGTTCTTGTCTCTTGTCTGTCATCGCCGCGTTATGCTTTTTAACGATGACTGCGAATTCCGGCTCTATGTGATATTGCATCTTCTTGCTTTTATCTCCCCTTTCCGATTATACTCCTTTCTTTCTGAGTAGCTCGGCCATCCATTTTGGCTACCCCGGAATATCGTACGCGTGCAGTTCTTACTGACTGTTGGAAGCCTCTGGCTCTCGGTGGCCTTACGAGAATTTCATTGGGTTTCAAGGTACTAGCTGTCTCTCTTTTCTGTATTTCTCGAGATCAGAGATCCTTTCCCTCTCTCTTTCGGTAAGAGGTAAAAGGATTTGGAGAAGCCGATATAACCCTTCCCATTTCCCTTCGTCATCGGCGAGCTCTATTTTGACACTTACTGCCGCGTTGACTAATGTGCTGATTGTTTGGTTTTACCTCTGTGTAGCCTGACTCTTTGAGATATCGATCTGCTCCTGGAGCAACGGTCGACGACTCTAACTCGCTGTCTATTTTTTAAACTCTTTTTCTTTTTCCTTTCCCTCCCTCCGCTCCCTACACTGTCTACGCTCTCTTGTCTTGGAGTGAATTCCCACGCATTCTATCTTTTTTTCTGCGAGGGCTTCCACCACTTGAGAACTGACTTTACGCCGGAATTTCCGTTCCTCTTTTTTTTTTTCCACTGGTTGTTTGTCCTCCGCTTAACCCTTCTCGGGTCATTTTACTGTTCGGTGTCAACTTGCGTCGCTTTCCGTAGCTGCACTTGAACAAGCACCGAACACTGATTTGCTTACTCTCATCCTTCTTTGCTACTGCTTTTTTTCTTTCCTCGTTCCCCGGGCTATTAGATCCCTCATCCCGAGCTATCCTTTCTCTTCCCCTACTCACCACCCCACTGTTTGCTCCCCTTTCCCGTTGCTACGGTTTTTTTTTGACTCCCGTCACCCCCGTTACTGGCAAAGTTACACTTCCCTGCCTGTCTCACTTTCCAACTCCCTACTCATCCGTACAGGTTGTGGAACCTCAACTCATCTTTCTGAATATCTCCGTAAAAACTTCATCCTTCACCTCCGTTTATTGCCGCCTCTCAACCCTAATTCGTATTTTCTTATTGAATAGCCCTTCTATTTCTTTTCGTCCCTGCAACCGATATAATCATGGCACGTCGCAGGACAAAATCAATGGCCGAAGCTTCTAATTCCCCTCCGCCTGCGGCCATTGCGAGGGCCACTCGTTCCCGCAAGAGTCTCGCATCTTCATTATTGGAGGCCCAACAGCTACTGCCCATGGCTTCCGAGCAGGGGTCTATAGGCCAGCGAAGATCTTCCAGATCTGCTCCGAAAAGAGGCGAGGGCTTGGCTCTAAGTCCTACTACTGGGGTCAGCCCGATGGTGACGCGGGGGAGACAAGCGAAGGGTGAGGGTGATGGTAATAAGGATAAGGACCACGAAGATGAGGCTCCCCGGGACCGCTGGAGGAGCCCCGGAAATTCTACTAAACATACGGTGACGACGCCGCCACCCATTCCTGGCACTCGGTATGTACATCTTTGTTATTCTTGCAAAAAAATATAATAAAATTGTGTATCGTGTTCCGGTTTTCTAACTGTTTGTCAGTGGCGATGACGAGGAGTCTCTGGCTGATGAGACTGATAAAAAGGAGGAAGAGCATCTTGATGAAGATCGCCAAGATGATGATAATGGTTATGGACATAGAAATGAGGATGAAGGGCATGTCCCACCCGGTCCTATATCTACCAATTCTTCACCGGATGGCCAGGGCTATTACACCTCGTCGCTCAATGGCGGGGATAGAATGTCCTCGCCCTCCGCTAGTAGAAACTACGATGCTGCTACGACCAAGAGGCGGCGTAAGAAAACACGCAATCCCCACATCAGCCCGAACAAGCAAAGGCAGCTCCGCCAAAAGCAGAAGGAGCGGGAAGAGAAGAGAAAAGGTGATGTTGTTAGCTCCCCGGTGAGTGCTGCGGGTTCCGGATCGGGAGCCTTTCCCGCAGAAACCGAAGGTATTCCTGCTCCTGTTCATCTCCCTCCCGATGCTTCTCAGACGGCCAATCGAGCCTTCGAGGAGGATTTCGGACCACTCTTGAATAGCGAGACCAATGCGCGGGAAGCCGGTGAGAGACCAGCTGTACCCGTGGATCTATCTTCGGTTGATGCGGCGGCAGAGGTTTTGCTTGAAACTGTGATGGGAGAACTTAGTGAGGATGGGGATGGCGGGAGGGTTACCAGGGATCCCAGTGTGAAGCCCGGGCGGGATGTTGTTATGGCTCCGGAAGCCCGAGATGAGGATATGCCTGATGCGCCTACTCAGTCGGGTGTTTCGCTACTAAATATTGCACCCAACAACGATGCAACTGCTGAGTCTCCATCGAATCAATTACTTGCTGAGCTGCAAAAGAATGGCGACGATGCAACTGAGGGCACTCTTTCCGGCCAAGCATCGCCCATACTCGCCGGAGTGTCAACACCCGCTACTACGGTCAATGGGGCCGCGGGCTCACGCCGTGCACGATGCATGGACGGCGAGTCCTCCGAGGGTCGGGATTCTCCAATGCGAGGGCTTGAGTGTTCGCGAACGAGCGGGGCCCCCGAGGGGGACATCTCGAATATCTCTTTCGGGCGCAGACAATCCTTAGGGCCCAGCCATGCGGATGTAAGCGAGAGGGACAATGCGAATACGGGAGATGATCCGATTAAGGTAGATGGCCGGTGATGTCACGTTGCTACTTATTTTACGGGCTTGGGTTTGTACTAAATATGCGCAGGGGAATAACACCAAATCACGTGAGGGTAATACAAGATTAGTCGTCCGGGACGGGCCACCATCTCCAACGCTAGAGCGCCGGGACACAGAAGTTGTAGCCGGTGGTGTTGGTAGTCCTACAAGAACCGCCAGCCCACGCGAACGAATTGAGATTAGGGTTCAGTTGGAAGACCAAGATCCTGTTGGTTTCCCCAATTGGTATGCGGTGTTTTTACTAATGTTGTGCAGGATTCTGGTACTGCCCATGAGGCTAATGCTGCCGCTAATGTATTGCTGCAAATGCTTAATCCGAATAACTTGGTATTTGCCATTGGAAGGAAGAGAAGTCATTCCGAAATTTCTTCGAGAGGAGGGGGGTATGGCTTCCTTTATTATTATATTCTTACTAATCGGAAGGGCTACTAACTTGAGATGTTTCATAGAAACTCGCCCGGACATCGGGCACCGTCCAACAAATTGCTCTGTCCGACGTGTCCTATAACCATGGAAAAAATCTTGCCCTATCTTGAAAAAAAGAACGTGGGCGACCGTAGAATGAGTCTTGAAGAATTCGTGGATAAACATCGTGAACTTTGCGCTAATAGCATTCAGGATGAATCATTGGTGTCTGAAGGTGAGGTGGAGGAAGAGGAAGAGTATGGGGATTACGATGATGAAGAGGACGAAGGTGAGGAGGGTGGTGCCGGGGAGGAACTTGACAGGGAATTAGAGGGAGGAGAGGAGGATTACGCAGCTGATGGAGATGGAGAGTTGATGGAGGGGGATGCCGGAGTAACCCGGAAGACAGTTCCCACAGCGTCTGGGGCGGTTGCAGTCTTGTGCAAGCTGGCTGGGTCGCTGCCTGGTTACCTCAGCATCAAGCCGGAAGATATCGACAAGGAAATTGAGATCCGGGGGTCTGCTATCACAGCTGGCCAGCTCCCGGAGGGGAGGTCTATTGAAGATATGCTGTTTACTCCGATCACACCAATCTCCACATTTCAAGAATATCTGGAGAATTCGGAAACCCCGGCGGAGAAGTTCCTTGTGGAGGAGAAAATTGTTGGGGCTTTAGCTGACATGCAGGAGGAATATTTGCGCCTTGATGAGATTATCAAGCGAAAGGAGGCAAGTACCCCGGATGGGGAAGTAACAGCTATTAGCCAGGTCACTAGAGGGCGTAAGAAGGGAAAGCCTAGGGCTGCCCACAATCCATTGGAACCAGATGACGCAGTGGTCTGGGAAGACAAGAAAGAAGCTGAGCTTTATGGGTTTTCTTACGACCCCGCCATTGACAAGCGTGGGAAACAGAATGCGGATGAACAGCAAGCTGGCAAGTATTCTATTAGAGGGAGGGAATTGCGCAGTCGGCAAAAGGCCGTTGAAATGGTGCTATACCCCGGATACGAGCACATTGATCAGCGAGTCCAGACCATCCAGCCAAAGGCGACGAGACGCCGGAAGCCTGCCGCTGACAAAGAAAGGAACGGGGAGCCACTAGAACAGTTCAGAGCTGGTTCTGCTCCACCACCTATCTCCACCGTTCCTCAAAAGAAGAGGCCCGGAAGACCTCCGAAGAATGCTCCACCCTCTTTATTTCTCTCCGCCGCCGCCACCAAAGATCAAGCTTCGGCGCAGGCGCTATCAAGGACGCATTCTGCAGATAATGTTGCGCGCCCGAGAGCGGGTGAAAAGCCAAAGGTAGACCCTAACAGAACACCACCTAGTAGTATTAGTGGCACCTTGGTGAGGCCGTCGCCGGATTGTCTAAAGATAAAGTTTCGCGGTGCGCGGCTTGCTGAGTACCTGAATATTGTCTCGCAGGAATCGAATCTAGTATCCACGCAGAGAGATTTCTACAGTCGCCCGGGCCCATCATCGTTGGTGCCTGCCACGACGCAATCCGAACCAGTCTCGCCAACGAGATTTTATCCCGACAAGCATACCAGGCAAAGCGACTCGTTCGTGTCGCTCACGAATGGGGGGGTCAATGGGCAGCGATCGGAATCTCCGGTTTACGATTCAGCAGAGAGCAATGGCCGGGGGGGGGGGAGCAAGGTCTCGTGGAAGAGGTAGAGCACGTGGAAGGACGAGGGGGACCCGTGGGCCGGGTAGGCCTGGACGTGGGTCAGGGTTGAGAGTTGAAACCTCAAACGCAGCTAACCCTACTGGTCGTGTTGAGCCTTTGTCGGCCAACCCGGAGACCCCAACTCTTAGCGCGGTCGAATATTCCGAAGCAGAGGATGCTGCCATAGGCGCAGCTTCCGATCGCGGGCACAATTATCATTCGAACGCCTTTCAAGCCCCGTCTAGGATCCCTGGCAGTGCGAAGCGTTCCGCACCCGCTGTAATGCACTTCAACTCAACTCCCCCCGTCTATACCGTATTTTCGACCCGGCCGGGGCCGCATCCGTTGCCATTGACTTCTACAAGCCCGACTTACCACGATAACCGGTCTTCAACTGAAACGGATCATGGAAGACCTCGGGTCCGTGGAAAGACGTACAAAACACCGATCTCCATCTCATTGACCGATGCCCAACCAAAGACGACCAAAGAGGAAGAATTTATTGCCGCACAGAATGGAAACCTGGGGAAGCGGAAGAGGGTCAAGACGGCTCTTGCATATGAAGCGCCTAGACGCAAGGCCCGCGCTGTTGCCGGTAGAGATGGGGCCGTGGGCGGTGGACATAGCCCCGGGAGCGTGAGTGGGGTGGGAGATGATGAAACGGATAGTAGTGAGCCGGATGATGATGATAGTGGTGGCTATGGAAAGTAGATGACGAACCCCACACGTTCGTCGTCACAACCTCGGCGGGAGTTTTCTTTTTTGAAAAAACATTAAAGTCTGGGTATCATATGCATTTGTGAATTGAAGGGGAGGATATTATCATTGGAGGTGTTTGGGCATTTGTATTTACGTTTGTCGTTTTGCTCTACCTTTCTTCATGCGACTGTATTATCCTCTTACTCACTTTTATTGTAATGTCTGTACGCTCGCGGAAGGAAGGTACAAGTATATAAATAACGGAGCTGAACAAATTCGGGATAAATGAATTGGCATAAGTGTGATGGATGAAATTGGATCCGTTTTTGGGCTGCTGCGCTTGGCTTTGGTGTGGAGTGGGTGATGTTCTATGAGTGCCATGTGGAGTTTCCGTGACCGGGCTACCAGGTCGTGATTGGCTGGGGTATCTCCGGTGAGAATTAGAGAATAGTAATGTAATCAGATAGAACATGGTAGTTTTGCCCAAGTCGATGGATGCAATACACGTCCAGAAATGTTAGGTTAGATGACTTGTGGTCTTTCTCCCCTCTCCGGAAGTAGTTTGTCATCCTGCCACCAATATAGTTCCGCTCGTGATAGACCAGCAGGATTTGCCCAGAAAAAGTAGGTCATCAGAAAAGTTAATACACAACCCAGAACAGCAGCAAACTCAATCTTATTTTATAGAGGCTATAGCCAGGAAGTAGATGTACAAGGTTACTGAAGTGAAATATGTAAATTTAATAAGATGAAAGCAGTATTATGTTTTGAAATCTGGTATAAAAAAAAGAGTATATGGCAATGACCACGACTAGCAGATAAATGAATTCAGGGTAAGAGTGGTAAAAATCCTCAACTATGGTAAACTATTAGGGGGGTTTTGTTTTCCCTGATTGTTACATACGACCTATAGGGAATATGGGAAAATTCGTAAAAGCAGGGCCAAGAATCAAGGAATACAGATCCTCAAACTTGTTCTATCAAGTCCAAGATTGTCTTTAAAAAAAATACTTCAATTCAGATAGTTTAACCCTTCTAGAAAGTAAAGGCAAATACAGAGCTGCAATGTTTGGAGAGTGGAATGAAGATACGGTTTGGCAAGCACTGTTTGAACTTGTATTAAATTTAATATTGTTATGATGTACATAACTGATGGCTAAGTAGATACTATAGTGTGAAATAGGTGTTGTAGGAAGTGCGGATGAGGCTTTGAAGTGTAGGGAGGAATAAAGTAGTAGTGGTCCTATTTGCAATTTCTTGGGTCACGGGATGGGATGGGATATAGGCAGTGGGTGCGGAGTAAGAGGGTTGTGAGGAACATGCTTGTAAATAAGAGTAATGACCCAATTGAAGTGGAAAAGTACTATAAAACATTATCCTTTCTATCGAGTAACATTGAATAATAATAATTATCTTGCAATCATAATTACCATCGTTTCCTAAGGCTGTAATTAATTCTCTGCTCAAATCCGCTCACGCTTACCAACAAATCAACAAGAGTCAAAGATTTACTAAAATACGGCTGAGGTATTTCTTGGGAACTTTTTTCTTTTTTTCTTCTAGCGATAGCAATCACTCGTATTTTTCCTTTTTTTTTGAAAGTCCAATGACCGCGAATGTTGGTTTGTCGTGAGCGGAACCGTACTTCCCCCCTACAATTTGCTGAAAATTACCACGGCCGGTCATCGGCACTCACTGTAGGAGGAGATATCGGACCTTCGCCGATTCCCCCCCTCCCCTTCCTTCCCCGCCATCTTCTCAGGCAATTAGTTGTTAGTCACTAGAAATAAGGAAGGGTTTTGTTCTTTCTTTCCTTTCCCTGTGGATAGGGATGAGGATAAACCGAATAGGAAGCCTGTTCGGTTGCCGGGCGGGCGTTGGACGGATCTCGGGGAGTGGGTATTGCCGTTGCGATACGCTGTCCCTGATTGGAGTCTGGGCGGGGGCAAGCGAGGAGTGTCCGAGTGGGTATAAACTTGCTTGGGATCGCTCGCAGCTCGATGTTGTCATGCAAGGTCGAGTGATGGGTAATGATTTAGGTAGATTGGTGGGTGGGTTTTAGTCCTCCGGGAATTTTTGTGGTATCACACTATATTATGAGAATGATTTTTCTGGCGGAATGGTTTTTGTGGACTTGGACCATAGTTGAGACTTTTTTCCCTTTTTTTGGGCGTTGGGGGGGGGGGGCGTTCTGATATGGTGCATCGCACGGGTTTACCATAACTTTATCTAGGTCCTTATAGCGGCGACTAGCTTCCGGATGTGCTCTATGATCCGTCGGGTCGTGTATAATGTCTCGTCTGCTCAAAAGTGCTATTCCATCGGCCACTCGTGTATTTGAGTAAGTATCGTAAGGATAGTCCTGCAGCCGGACACCCAGCGCACACCCGGGAAGGTATCATAAAGTACCGGATAGCCGAACCTTATTACACAAAGGTAAAGTCGAGGCATTTGGAGAGTTCCCGCTTCCCAGAGATCCCCCTCCATCGCCTGATATAGGGAGCAAACAAGCAAGCAACAGCCGTCAACCCCCCTAACTTATACCCCAAGTAATTGACCAATGATGACTGTGCATTAGCAATCACGTGCACGGAGAAGAGCACTAAACCGATGGGATGCGCCTAAACCATGGTAAGCTCAATCCGGGAAACGATGTAAGAATTCACAACTATCATACTCCATATCATACTCCCACTCTCCCTCGCCCAATATCGCTTGTGGTTCGGGAAGTAGCTCGAGCGCACTCTGGAGAAATAGCCATATCCCGACGACCCCAGAGATCCCCCGAGTAAGATTCTGGCGTTGGGATAGGCGCTCAATACCCGAGCGCCGCGATTCCGCAAGTCAATTACCTTTTATTATTATTATTATTATTATTATTTAGCTGGGCTTAGACGATAGTAGTAACAGTCACTTAAAGCAGTGAGAGCATTCATTCATTCATTCATTCATTCATTCATCCATTTTTCAGTCAACTCCCAACTATCAAGCAAGGAAAAAAGATCCAACCATCCTCTCCCATTCAACAAGGCAAAACTAGACTTGTACCGATAGCATGGGATGTCTTGAGAAGCACTAGGAGCTCACCCTTTCCAACGCGCAAAATCTTCGAAAATGGGGAAACTGTGATGCCATTGCATCCAAGAATGGGTGAGCGTCGAGGTGGTACAAGGACTAAGATTGTTTCGGTTTTAGGAGTGATATTTTGTGATTGTTGTTGTGCGGTGAGGGGGCACTTTAGGATTGACACTTTGGCATTCTGTGGAGGCGGGGTGTGTGGGCTGGAGGGGTGGTATCATAGTTGGAGTGCGATATATGGTATATTCAGGCGGGAGAGGGGGGCTTAGGCGGACAGGAAGCCGTTACCATGTCACTTGGAAAGGAGTGCTTTTGAAATTTTGGGCTATTGTCTTTACGGCCTGGGCCTGGGATGGAGGGGTCTTATGCACTCTTAAGGTTCTGTTAAATTACTCATTGTATTGTTCTATGACTGGTCTTGCGCGGAATGTTTTTTTCTTTTTCTTACTGAAAGCTGGTATTTCCTTTCTATTCCCGGCCTTTCTTGACTTCCTAGTGCCGTGCGGGTTGGAGGAGGGGGGTCTTTTAATCGCCGTCTTTTCTAAATCTACTCGAGGAGTATTCCCAAGTGGGAATGGTATACCTTAGTGGAAATCCGATGAAAAAGGCACGAGATATATACACGTTCCATCGAGTCATCCATCCAGTAAATCAGCTTACTACTGAGGGGTACTTCACAATGGCAGACCGAATCCTTGCTCGTGCCATAGACGAAGCAATCAAGCGTAGAAATCGTATTTAGATTCCGTTGGTGGTAGAATATTAGCAATGAGTGAATCCTAACCCGTAATCGTGATCCGGGAAAACTAGCAGAGCACCTCCGACCAGAAGAAATGGGGTGCATTTACAATACGCAATCTAATCATTAGTTCCGTTTTCCGGTAAGACAATCTCGTGTTTTTTTCTTCTTTTCCCTATAGCAGCGTTGCTATCACGCAGGGAATCAACTTTGGTATCATATGATGGGGTGCGGCAAGGCACTGTGCATAACTGGAATTTTCTCGGACCACGTCTTTCAAAGGCTTCGAGCAAGATCCATTCTCTGTCTAGCATCTGTTCTAGCCCTCGATAAAATTATGCGGGAACAAATGTACAAATGCTGAATTATACTCGGCGCCTGTGATATCCCGAATCCCCCTTGACCACCGGGACGTCCAGACGGTAGAGTGCCTACTCTGTGAAGGGGATAGTTGGCGCATTTGAACGAGTGGATTTCTCGACGGGTGGGATGGAGCACATGGTATGCTTTCGAAGCCGTCACTATATATGATGCCTGAGGTACGAGATTGATTGATTGATTCCCGGCCATGCGAGATTGGGTTCGGGGTTCGTTTCCATGGTGTCATTCGTTCCTACTTGGAGCGGGGGCAAAGCCATCGGTATCCCTCCAAAGCCTTCTTTTCGGTTTCCATTCTTGAACGCGCGCTTTCTAGTAAAGAATCGTGCGAAATCGTGGGACGGACTAATGCGTCGATCCTAGCACCGTAAGCCTAAGTTCGGATGAAAAAGTATACCGGTATTGCCCGTCGGGGGGGGGGGGTCGAAATCGTTCTCATCGCCCGCGGCTGGTTGGTGTCAAACGCTTTCTTTGAGAACCCAGCGCGCGTGTCGAGACAGGTTTTTGCAAAGGTAAAGGTAGCTGGGCGGAGGTCTTGGTGGTTCGGAGCATTCGCGTCGGGGTTTGTCATTTTGAAAGGTGTTTTTAGACGGGATCTTGTGGCGATCTGACCTTTCCCCATCGCACCGGTACCGTAGCAGCTCGCCAAAGTTTGGGACATTGTTATGAGTGGTTGCCAGGGCAACTATCTTAGAATCAAACGGACAATAATGATGACTTTTTGAGCGATGGTTCAATCCACCCTGCAGTTGGTGCTGGATGAGCTTCAAATTAGTCTTGGGGTATCGCACAGGTAAAGTGACTTTGGTACCAGAATATGGGAAAGGGAGCACCAACCTGGTTCCGATGAGCTATGATGCCGACAATTGAAGGGTGAGGCTGGTTGCCCATTTTTGCCGTGAAAAGGGCCAAACCGCCAAGAGTTTTGATTAGTCACTTTTGGATACGTTCCTACTTGTCCTGACGATTCTGGATGTTTACTTTTAAAGTGACTAAGCAAAAGTCTTGGCGATTTAGCCCGTTTCCCACCGAAAAACAGTGGCCAAAAACCTCACTTTTGAATTGTTTGCGGCTCATTAAAACAGAGCGCTCCTTTTCCTATATTCTGGGGTTTAAAATCAATTTATCTGTGTGATACCTCAGGGTTGATTTGAAGCCTCATCAGGTGCTATGGTTATGGGCTTGTAGAGTTGTACAGTATATCATCGCTTATCATAAAAGTTGTCACTACTATGATACATGTATGATACTGAGATAGTTGCCATGGCAACACCTCACGACAAGCTGGCATGCTTGGAGAAGTTGAAGGGTCAGAGGAACTCTCTATAAGAAAATTAAGGAGTTGAATGATAGTCTACGAGTAATCTTTACATGCGTGTATTATACAACCACTTGGAGAATTTCTTGCCCCGGTAGCTCAATTAGAAAAAACCCCCTCAGGGTGACAAATTTCGGTGTATGTGATAGACGTGCCGAACCACCAAGACTTTTTTGACTGCGAGTAGTATCATAGCTTTACCATCACGCTTCCTCTTTGCTCGGGATGGGAATTAGTAAGGAGAAAAAATAGCGTTGTATATTCCGAACCCGGCGATTTCGCAAGGTTCTTTTAGAGTGAATCATAGGGGAATGTTGGATGGAATATCATAGTAACCTGAAAACCCCTGCTCGAGTATTTTGGGTTTTGTTTGGAACCCGCATTCTCCCCCCGACCGATTGCAACGCTGATTGGGACCTCGCTCCTGGGTGTATGGTCTGGACGGTCTCCACTTCCCGGTGGGGTGGCCCTATTTCCTATTGAGAAGGCTACCGGTAGGTCTTCAATACCGGTATCCTAGTTCCCGTAGGAATGTTTCTTGTTTCTTGCCGAGAACCCGCGAGGTAAGACACATCCGTAATATCTCGGGTGAGGCTCTCCATGTACCCGCCGGGATCTGTAGTGGTACTAGGGTTGTTAGAGATAATTGCGTTCATGAGGATCAATGTTGCGGCGGGGGTCTTGAAAGGGGAGTTTACCCAACGGCCGGGAGGAGGGGGTTCGCCAGGGCTGGTTATGGGCTAATTTCTTGGCTTTGCCGACCTCCTTTTGCAGGAATTTAGAGCCGAACTTAAGATGTTTGTGCACGTTGGATGGGTGTATGCAGGCAGTAGGGTTGAGGGCGGCGGAGGGACGTATTCGGAGTTAGACTTTTCCTTTCTTTTCTCCCTTCCGTTCCTTTTCTGCACATGTATTGTACCACTGGTATAGTTTCAACTTAGTTATCATAATGTCTCCTTGTAGATTTTCCGAGCCCCTTCAGGCCTTCGCTGGTCCTTGTCACTACCGGTAGCCCCCCCTCCCTTCGTGCCAACACTGATGGGGATAGAAATTTCCGCTTGGCCAAGCGTGCGAATTGAGCAGGTTCTTTAGCTACCGTGTATGATGGCTTAGCGATGTTAGAACGGAAGGCAAGGTTGACATCAAGTTAACGATACGGCACATTCCGCCTTTTGCCTAGAATCCCATTTCGCATTAGCAAGATTGGGGGTACAGGGTGGTTGAGGCTGATCCGCGCGATGAGGTGGTGGTCATCGATTGTGCCTGGCCCGACAGATTCTTCAGGTTGTCGGGGTACGGTAGTGGTGGACGTGTACTCGAGTACGCACCGTACTGGGGGCTGGGATAAAATCGGTGGACGCGGGGGCAGTGTTTTGCAACGAGGCTCGGTAACAAGATGTTTAAGCTTGGCGGCTGGCTCCGGGGAATGAGAATTTACCTGCATGTGCGTACGGCCTATAAACCTCATTCCCATCCCTTCAGAGTCCCGTTCATGAACTAACCAACTAGGGTATCCGAGCACTGGTATCCATGGCATTGGACACATGTCGGGTTTTGAGGGACCCAAGACTGTACCGTCCTGTGTGTGGGGCAGGCTGAGGGGACCTAATAACTTTAAAGGAAAGGGCTATGATAGTGCATCGGATGTGGGTGGGCCCTGAATGAGCATGGGGATGGGGGCAGGAGATTTGGTTGAAAACAGGAGATGCCTGGAGAGGACAAATCCTCAATCTGCGCATTAGGCCGGATTTGAAGTGGAAACTTGCCGGCGATTTAGATGATGGAAGTTGTTTTGTTGGGGTATCATATCCCACTTGTGAGTTATGTGTGGGTACTTCATTTGGGGGGGGTTCACTTTGGTGGGGTGGGGGGAAGCGGTTGTTTTGGAAAAGGTTTGGTTGGCATCTGTCTGTCACCTTATGCTCCGACTGGGACCATGCTGTCGGATTGATTTTGTGCGGGTTGCGCACATGTCCCGCGTTGGAAACGTGTCTGGCTTCTACTCGGGTATTGGGAGAGGATGCGGACTATATGCAAAGGCCTCCCCCTCTGACGAGGTTTGTTAGCCTTATTTATCTATCATACTAGGGCCATTCGATAGGTCCGGGGTTTGTATTCTGGTAGACACCGGTAGCTCTGGCCAACCGAGTGGTGCAAGGTGGACATCTACAAGTACCGTACCGTATAAGTTAGTGTGGTACTGTACAACTTCAAGCACTCGTGCAGTCATATGTACTGTA